TACCTGTTTCTACCTAACCCCATCAACTGCCTACCTGTGATGCAGTCCAGCCTGGTGCAGGTGTGGGCTGGCAGCCTTTAGGTGGGAATGTCTTGCTGGGTCTCCAGCTCAACAGGAAGCTGCACATGTTCTCAGAGAGGCAGCTCACTCCAAAGGCAGTCAAGTCCATGATTCTGAGAACTGCTGCTTTTGTCCAGCAGGATGGTCAACTGCCACTCCTGGGTCCAGTCAGGGACCAGACCAAGCTCAAGAGAAAAAAATCCCAGCTGTGCTGTGCAGACTGGCCCTGAACCCCTCCTCTTGCAGAAGAAACCCGTCTCCCCAGCATGGACGCTGGTCTTCTCTCCTGTGTCCCATCGGAGCCTGGGTGACGACGCCACAGACCAAGGGCCGTCTGTGTGTCCTTCTGCCTGGCCTGCTGCACCCCATCCGCTGGGGTCCTGGTGCTCGCCATGGCTTCTGCTCACTGTGTTCTTGCACTCCTGGGCACACATCTTGTGGGATGCCCAGACTAAACAGACCAGTGTCCTCATCCACACAGCGTGGCTGCTCACAAGGCCAGCACGTTTGGTGCTTCAGAATGATATTCGTGGTCGCTGTGCCTGTGCACTGGTCGGCTCCAGCGGCCACATCACCACAACGCACTCTGTCTCCTCGGTGCTGGACTTGTAGCATTTCCCTTCAGGAGAACATTCCACTGCTCAGCTTCCTGCTAAGAGCTCCCCTCCCACCCTCCTGGCTCTCCGTCAGCCACCCACCTCCTTGTGTCCTCACAGGGCCAGAGAGAGGTCCCCTTCCCCTCCTAACGAGGCACCAGTCCTGTTGAATCAGGACCTCACTCCTACGCCTCAGCTGGCCCTGGCCATCTCCTGAAGGACCCATCTCCAAATACAGCCATACTGGGGTCAGGACTCCACCACCTGAATTTGGGGATATAGTGCTATCCACAGTACCCCGTGCCCAGCACACTGTGCTGGTCCTCCTGTCAGGCAGAGGCTACAGCCCAGCCTCTGAGGGCTCCCAGCCCCAAATTCCAGCATCGACAGGTTCCAGTAAAGCAGGAAATGGGGTGCAATTCAGCAGGCCCCAAGGAGGCAGCCAGGGGCTGATGTGCCTCTGTGCTACCCAAGACTTGGGGAGGCCCAGAGGGGGGCAAGGAGCAGGGGGTGTGTGCTTCAGGCATGTCAGAGGTCACCAAGGCTATCGGGGGTCTGCAAAGAGAAGGGACTTGGGCCTCCTTCCTGCTTGGGGTCTTTCTGCCCCTGATTCTGACTGAAGGCCAAGGGGACTCAAGCTAGTGGCCGAGAGCCAGCAATCCAGTTAGAGTGCCAGGGTGACCAATGTCCCTGTTGGCCCAGGACTTGCCTAGTGTGGCAATTGGAAGTCCTCTACCCTGAAAATGGCTGGTCCCCCATGGTGGAGGGAACCGTGTCTCCCACAGCCCGTGTACTCACTCAGCACAAGACCATGATGATCAGTTGTGGCCAGCAGTGGGTGACCTTGGACTTGAAGAGCGTGACCTCGCTTTAGAGCCAGAACATCACTCCAGGTTACAATTCTGGCAGCAAGTCAGAAGTCATGCGCTACGCGCAGCCTGCACTGGCCTCCCTGTCTGACCCAGGGGGACACAGTCTCCATTCGTACCCACCTCAGAGGAGACCGATGGGCCTCAGGAGGTGTGGGTCCTGGTGACCAGAAGCATGCTGGCACAACAGCCCGCATCTATCTGACTGGACAGCTTTATCTGACCATCACAATCATGACGGAAACCAATTCTTCACACAATAAAGAATGGTACACATGGGTTTTCTGGGGATCGCTGGCTAAATCCAGTAACTTTTAGAAATACATCATTTCTTTTCTTTGCCAATTATTCTGGAAACTTCCTTTTGAGTGCTAAAAGCCTCACTAAAGAGCAGCGCCTTTCCCAAGCACAACTCCTTTGCGTGTGTGCTGTGGATGTGACGTGCTTCCTCCCGAGTCCCTGTCATCCAGGAGGTGCGGGGCTCGTCACTGGCAGCATCACTGAAACTAGACCATGACACGGGACGCTGAGACTGTGAAGGTCCGTCCCATGGAGCTCCCCGAGCTCGGGCTTTACCCCGTGGACCCTGCAAGGCTGGTCAGCCCCGACTCTGACCTGCCCCGGGTCCTCCTAGCACACCACCTTGACCACGCAGTGTCCCACCCCAGAGGCCATCCCGGAGTCTCTCTCAGACCTGCCTATGGCTGCCACCTCTCATCAATTTCCACCCAACAGGCACCTGCTCAGAGGGGCCACCTCCACGTCTCCACTATTAACTACCTGCCACAGAAGCCAGATCCCCAGTCTGTGACACCCTCGCAGCAACCCTCACAGGTGGTCTTTCTGACCCCAAGGGGGCCCTCGAAAGCCTGCCATGGCCTGAATGTCTCCCCAACTTTCACGGGTCGGAACCGAGACTGCTCAGTGTAGCAGTCAGGGCTGACAGAGGCGTCTGGTCACAGGGGGCAGAGGCCACATGATGAGATGCTTACCTTTGTCGTGGGAACAGGTGCTCTGCCACAAGAACTTGACCCCTTTCCGCTCTCCCAGACACCACTGGCTCTTCCACTGTCTGTGTGAGTCAAGGCAGCACGAGCCCTCACCAGACCCTGAATCTGCCAACTTCCTAACTATGGGCCCAGAGAAACCTTCTCCTGCATGAAGTACCCAGTCTCAAGCCCGTTATTATAGTAGCAGAAGACAGTCTAGGCCAGAGCCCAACAGGAAGGAAGCCTGACCCCATGGCCCTCAGACAGCACAGGGGCCCAGGGGCCAGCAAGGGGACCCCTGAGGATACCATCAGCACACAGCCAGCCAAGACACTCTGCAGTCTTTACTAAGTAAACTCAGCACACACTTTATTTGTGATTTACATTCAGATGTGACTGCACACTTGAAACTTGGCTGTTTGATTTTAAAGATCTGCTGCCACCTGCGGAAAGCACAGGTTGCCCCCCGTGGCGTGCAGGCTGGGTGAGGGGAGTCCGCTAATGAGCCACCTTCCCCCCTGCTGACAGTTCTGCCTGAATGAACAGTTCCAATAAGCCCGTGTCCCCACCTCGGAGCCCAGTTGCCAGGCAAGGCAAAGGGATGATCACCCTTCGGGATCACTCAGGTAGGGCCCTCTGCTTCCCCAGGAGGCTTTTAAAAATTCACACAAAAGCATAGAACTCAATATCTTCTTCCTTCTTGATAAGCAAAATGATCCTAACCACAGTCATCTCTCATAACCTTCTCTCTCCCACCCACACAGCAACAGTAAGGACCCACGGGCTGGCCCCAACATCCATGGCATTGTCCCACGGCCAGGCCCGCTGCCACCAACCCACACCATCTGGCCCACACCTGGGCACTTCTGATGACCTGGTGCACCTGCTCACAACACCTGGAGAAAAGATGCAGCACAGACCCGCTCTCCAGCAGCGACTCTGCCTGGCTACTCCACTTCCTGTCCTACCACCCCACACCCTACTCACACTGAACCACTGGCCAGTCCCTAGATGCTCCTAGAGTCCACGTTCCCGCTACTTTGCCCAGAATGCCTTGCCCCTTGGGAAAACCTCCCAAGCAGCCCACAGACGCTTGGGCCACGGGAGGTGGTGGGGTAGCAGTAAGCCGTGGGTCCTGCTCGCTCTCCAGGTGCTCCTGGTCCCTCTGCCCCATGGCACTGGTCCTCCACCCTCAAATGGGGTGTGACAAGAGGGCAGTGCACCCACAGGCAGGGCCATCTCACCATGTCTGCCTGCACTTAGCCCAGCTAAGATTCTGCATGGCCTCACAGGGAGCCTGAGCAGCTCCAAGCAGGGACAGCCTTGGACAGCTGCTTTTCCACAATCCGAAGGACGATGCCTGGTGACGCTGGTATTCAGAAAACCTTAACTGAATATGCAGGTGCGGTTCAATGCACGTTCTATCTCGCCCCCCAGGACCTCCAGCACCTCCTTAGCTGCACTCCTGCAAGGTGACATGGCAGTGGTGAAAAGCTGCACTTGGCCATCAAATAAATCCAGGTGGAAAACAAAACCCTGCCAGTCCCATGTGCCTCATGCAAGTCACTCTGCCTCCCAGTACCCTGTCCCTTCACATGCTAACCAAGACGCTGACAGCAGCTATCTCAGGTGAGCCTACTGATTTAATAAGAGGGTCTTTGTACAGCAAGGAGCACACAGGACTCTAATAACACTGCCAGGGTGAAGTGACCTGAGATAGGAGGGTAAAGAGACACCCCGAATCAAGATGCCTTCACACACACACACACACACACACACACACACACACACACACACATCACTGCAGATTGTCGGGTTTTGACAAAGCATACCCGAGGGGCCCAAGTAACCCCTTGCCACTGTGGTATGAGCAGTCACACATGAGGAAATACTGTCACTGCTGGTGGCTCTGCTGGTTCCTGGCCACTGCCATTGTGTCTGGTCCTTCGGGAAGTTCTTTCAACTTCACAGACTGGTTGTGTCAAGCCTCTTAGAGACCGTGACGGGGCTGTCTTGGACTGGCAGGTGCCACAGGAGCACACAGGAAGCCTGCCTGCCTGCTAGGGCCAGAGAGGCACCCCTGCCACGGCAGGTCACACCTGAACCTTGGGGACTCAGCCAGAATGGGCAGCCTGTGCTCCAGCGCCTCTTCCTAACACCCCTCTAAAAGGACAGAGAGGCGGCAGAGCAAACCACCTCCTGCAGACAAAAGGCATCCCAGACACCCAGGGCGCCAGCCCGGAGACACCACACACCGCAGGCCAAACAGAAGCCCGTGGCACCTGGAATTCCAGGTCACTGGAGGTGGAACGCCTCGGTCTGGCCAGTCTCTCATCCACCACCAAGAACAGTTCAGTGACCGTGTTAACCAGTGCCACTGTGACTATTCAGGGCCAGCAGTGCCAGTCTGGTGGGATCCCTAAGTGTGAGGACATTGTCACGGCTCGCCTCAGGGAAGCCACACCCTGCAGGTTAAGTGAGCTTACCATGGCCATTAGCAGTCAGCAGGGAGAAGGTCCCAGCTGAGCCACTCTGATCTCCAGAAGCCACACCAGTGACCACTAACTAGGAGGGCTTCGGACGTGCGAATCTGTCAAGGTGCTGATGGAGGGAAACAAGCATGTTGACTCCTGCAGGGACACACAGAAGCTGTTGACCTGGAAGAAAATGAGGATTCTGATTGGCTGCTCACTGGCTGGCCTGCAGGGACATGAGGATTCTGATTGGCTGCTTGCCCTCTTGTGGTTTCAAATTAAGATTTCTATCATGTAACATGTTTTACTTTATAACATGTTTTACTTTATAAAACACCCATTTAACTTTTCCTGTGCTTTTACTTATCCAGGTGGACAGAGTAAGCCGGTTATTGCTATTTGAGAGATGAGGGGGCAGCTGGGGAAATGCTTAGCAACCCCAAGTGCCCCAGCCAGTAGATGACACCATCAGAGTCACGTGCATTGTTCTCCCCACACACAACTCTGGTACATACCATATAACCACTCTGTCCAATTCCACAAAGATGTGCTCCGTTGTATATTTGAAAGTTAACCCTCACCTGAGACATGACAGCACAACTATCCAGACTCCCACCACTACCACCAGAGAAAGGCCAAGCAAGCCACTCTGAAGGACAAAGAGGAGGGACATGTCTGTGGCTGTCCATGCTTCACATCTGTTCATAAAACCAATGCCAAAGCTTTGGCAACATCGGCATCTTTTGTTATAACCACAAAACCAAAAACCTCAATGCTCTGATATCACTATCACATTGGGTTTACATTCTGAAGAGATTCACATCTCTAAGGAGTTTCAAGACCACGCGCAAATCCAGGTGCACAGGCATCTCTGAACAAGGGAAGCTGCGAATGAACTGCAGCTTGTCGGAGCTGCCCAGTACTTCCTCCCAGAGGGGCTCTGACTGCCCAGAGGAGCCTAACACGGGCCACCAGCACCCCCTGGAGAGCCTTCAAAGAGATGGATCCCCAGGTTCTGACCCCACAAAGGGCCTTTCTAACCAGTACTCTCAGACACTCTGATATCAGCGGGGCTCGGACATGTTTGTAATGCTGCCCTTGTTGCCCACAAACAGCCCACCTCATGGAGAGCAACAGGTCCCAGGGGCTGGCTCATCAGGCCTTGCTGGAGCCTCAGTCCAGGAAGACTCCCACCACTACCACCAGCAGCAGCCAGACCTGAGGCTGGTGCCCAGCCCCCACTTGCAGATCCTGTAGGCTGGGGAGTGAGATGAAGCTAAGTTTAAAAACAAATAAAGAGTAACGACCAGGTATTACATCTCCTACTTTGCCCTGAAATTCATTCCCTCTTCATCCATGTATCTCTGAAATCCAGTACTGGAATTGTCCAATTTGTCAATAAGGTGAGTTTTCTAAACTACTATCCATATGACTCAATTTGTCAGTAAAAACTGCCACCAGCGCTGTGCTTGCAAAAAATGTCCATAAATGCATTATTGCAACCAGCAGATCGATGTCTATAATAAAAACACATAGATTTAACAAGTGCCGGCCCTTTACGAGTCACACCATTGGTGGGCTCTGCATTCAGGGTCACCCTGGACTTCTGGGAATGGGCCACAGAGCTGGGGCTGGATGCTGTACTGATTCCTAAAGTGCTACAGGCAGGAAATTATTCTAACAAGAGAATTTCAGAAAGAATAGTGTGGACATACAGCCGTTTACTGCTCTCTCACGAGCCCTTTCATGGCCACACACGCATCCATGAAGTCAAATCCAACAGCCATAAGGAAGCGTTTGCATAGAATTGTTAGCTGGTTTGACAAGAGCTACACTACAGGCCTACAGAGTTTTCTCCAGATGGGATATGGGGACATGAGGCTCCTTGGAGACCCCACTTTGCTGCTGAGCCACCAACTCAGCTGAAGACAACTTGTGGTATAGAGAACAGGTTTCAACATCCGCAAGTGGCCGTGGGTGTCACCACGGGGCCAGTAGCAGGCCATTTATTTGGTTCTCTTGCTGGGGCTGACTTTCCAACACAGTGCAATAGACTGGCCTAACTGTAAGCGATGCCTAGCACTTGAGCTAGACATAGCCCATGGCCTCTTGACACATGAGCCACATCTGCCCAAGCCACCAATTCCTTCAAAACATGCAAAAAAGATTCACTCCTCTTCTTAGACCACTCCTTTTAATAATTACACAAAAGAATAAGTTCTTCATAGGCACTGCCTGGTGTTCCCTAAAACATGTGGTCCCCCTCAGTAAGTTCTTTATCATGGTTAATTTTTTTTAAGACAAGAGAAAACCAAACAATATCCACAGACAAGAAAATATGCAGAAGTTACATAAAAGCCAAGAATTTAGGCCACAATACTGGATCTCTAACGTTTACCCACCTAAGCCCAGGATAGGCCTCCAGAGCAAGGGGAACAGTGCATCACATACTCGCCCCCAAAACCTTTCACTTTGACTTCAAAACAACAGCAGGGTGCTGAGCTGGCTGCTGATCTGAACAGGCTGCCACAGAGCCCAAGCTCACCAGATGGCACCTATGGTGTCCTGTCTCTGATTTTAAGACCTCCAGGCAGGCTTGAGTGAGTCTGCAGCAGACGCCAGCTCTGAGAAAGCAGCTGCATCAGTCTACCTAAACCAGGGGACAGGGCAGGGGCTGGTGGCCTTTCACCTGAAGTTTAGCGACCCAACCAGAAGCCAAAGGTCTCAGGGGCAGTGGACCTAGACCAGGGTGCTGAACCAGGGAGCTGGCTGGGTCAGGGTGAAGTGTGAGCAAACCTGGTGCACAGAGGGTCCTGACTCACATGGTTCACTGTGCTGTTCCAACTTGGTGCGAAAGCACACGCGTGCAGCAGACACCAGACTTTGAGTGTTTAATTTGGGTTTTTCCCCAGGTAGCAATATGCAGTAAGATACCGTGATCCTGGCAGACACTGCGGCAGCCCCAGTCACGATGAGGCAGGCGACCCTGGTGCACCTGCGGCTGAGAGGTATCCAGGAGGCCAGGCACACTCAGCACAGCCTGGCCTGCAGCATGGTCAGCCGTGATGTGTCTGTTAGGCCACATCCCTGTCACCAGTGGAGGAACACACATCATACTCCCAGACGGTCAAAGAAAAGAGAATTCAGAAAATACTGCTTCCCACACGTTTTCCATTAAGAAGAACAGACTGCAAACTGAAAAGGGCACGAAGGGGAGACTTAAAGTCCTGATGGTTTGAATCACTAGCTACTAAATGGTTCTCCTCTGGAAAACAAGAAAAATGGCAGCAATTTAGGAGGTCTATTTTATTAATGAATACTTAGGAGAGTCAAGTGCTTAGGTCTCCTGAGAAAGGAGGAACAAACTCCGGGGGAACTTTAGGGAAGGCGAGATCTATGGCCCTCCACGCCACTCCTTCTCTGCAGGAGGGACACCAGGCCAGACACCAGATCCAGTGATGGAAGGCTGAGCAGGAGACAAGGCTGGCCCAGCGTGAGCCACTGACCTTAAAGCAGGACCCTGAGAGCCATGCTCTTCTCTCAGAGGAAGGCAGGCTTAGGAATCTCAGCAGCTGAGCCATACCCAGTGTGTACCTAGGACTCCGCTGCTTTAAACCCTGCTAACACTGAAGCCCTTTCAAAGTAGTGCAAGATATCAGTAGTTAAATCCAGCTATTATAATGAAGATTTTTTTTCTAATGAAAGGAGTATTTACACAGAGAAGCACCTCAAAGCAGTGTACTTGAGGCCTGGTTCCTATAGCTCCAGACTGGAAGACTCACCTCTACTGTCAAATTTTAACAAGATAAACAAGAGGCGGGGCCCAGGGAGAAATGGAAGCCCTTCTAGTGTGGGCCACTTTCCCTGGCCACTTGCAGGCTCTGGTTCCTGGCAGATCCCTCAATAATGCTCTCAGTTAACGAAATTAACTACCAGATGGGTACCCCACCCTCCATGCCAGTGTGCTTCGCCTTTAAGCCACTGAGAGACCCATGAAAACAACCAAAGCAGGTCGCGATCCTCTGTCAGGGACGGGGGGACGAAGAGGTGGATCTGTCTAGCAGAGACACCACAGGTTTACATTTGGTTATATATTTAAACCAGTTAACTCTTAGCTCTTTATGTCTAACAGTTGGTGTGCTCCAGACCACTGCGGTGACCCCTCTGGACAGAGCTGCTTCCCTGTGTCTGACCATGGTCCAACCACCCAAAGGTTTTACACACACATAGAAATCTTGCTTTCCCGGACAGAAAGCCAGCTACTGGGCTGAAGCAACCAAGAGTAAATACCATTCTGAGACTCAGGAAATGATGAACCTAACGAGTGAGGAGTGAGGAATACATACTTTAGAATTACTCTCCTGTATTATCACCAACTGGGGAATCAGGGTGCCAAGTGTAAATGGCTCTCCAACTCCACGTGTTTACTCTAAGTGTTTATGGACCCAATTAGGGCATAATGTATACAAACAGCAGCCCTGATAAGTGGAGCACCCTGGAACTCTGTACTCCTCTATGCTGTCTCAAGCAAGAAGGAAACAGGGGCTCTGCACAAGCAGCATGCTAAAGGCTTGTGGCAAGAAGGGCCGCGCAGGGGTTTCTGGAATCTTCCTGGAAGAAAGGGGGAGTGCCCCCCCCCCCGTGTGCTGTGCCTTCAACACTAAAGAGCAGCAGAGTGGGCAGGGACACCTCAGGGTCCAAGTCTGGCTTCAGCAATGCCTTCAAAGTGTTGACCATCTGGAGGTGTGATGGGGACAGCCACAACCACCATGCAAGCAGTGCAACTTGGCCTGTGAACTCCAAGCCCGGGGAAGGCAGGGCATTCCTGAGTTTCACCTGGGGCACACGTGGGCCGGTCCCTGAGCGCTGGGTGGAGGAGGGCGCCCATAAGACTACTCGTGGGCGGCTGCGATTGTCCCTCAGGCTCCCGACGCCCG